AGAATTTAGAAAAAGCCTTTTATTGGTATCAAAAAGCAGCAGAAAATGATTATGAAAAAGCAATGAATAGTTTAGCCAAATGTTATGAAAATGGAGAAGGAACAGAAGAGAATTTAGAAAAAGCCTTTCATTGGTATCAAAAAGCAGCGGAAAATAATGTTAAAGAAGCAATGTTTAATTTAGCCAAATGTTATAAAAACGCAGAAGGAACAGAAGAAAATTTAGAAAAGGCTTTTTATTGGTATCAAAAAGGAGTAGAAAGTGACAAAGTGAATCCTAAGAATGAAGTTGAATTATGTAATGAATGCAGGCAGACATATACTGATTACCAGTGGTGCCAACAATGTAATACTAAACGATTTCAACAAGATTTTTTAAAGTGGACTAGTAAAAATGAATTTATTGATAAATTTATTCAAGAAACACAACTAAATGCTAAAAATAGTTATGAAATATTAGAGTGGATACCTTATAATAAATTGTCAAGTATTAATTATTATGATAAAGGAGGATTTAGTGAAATCCATAAAGCTAACTGGACAGATGGACCTATTTATGGTTGGAATTTTGATAAACAACAATGGAATAGACAAATATGTTATGAGGTTGTTCTTAAAACACTTAATAATTCATCAAGTTTAAATAATAAGTTTCTGGATGAGGTATAGTATTTGTATTTTATGGCAAATTTTATTTACTTTTGCAAAAATTTAATAATTTTTTTATCATTTATGTAGTGGAAATATTATTATAGTTGTCAGAAAAAATCATTTTCAAAATTTATTCAGTTCTTTGGTATTACTCAAGATCCAAGTAATTTAAATTATATAATAGTAATGAGTTATGCAAAAAAAGGAAGTTTGAGAAAATGTTTATCTGATATAATTAAATTCAAATGGCAAGATAAGTTACAATTGTTGAAAAAAATTATATTAGGACTTAAAGTAATTCATGAATCAAATTTAACTCATGGTGATTTTCATGATGGCAATATTTTAATGTCAGATAATTACAAAGAGATATTTATTATTGATTTAGGATTATGCAAACCTATAAGTGATTTACAAGATTCTGATAATAAAGTTAATGAAATTTATGGAGTTTTACCCTACATGGCTCCTGAAATATTAAGAAAAAAACCCTATATTCCAGCAAGTGATATTTATAGCTTTTCAATGATAATGTGGGAATTTACATCAGGCATTCCTCCATTTAACCATGAAGCACATGATCATCACTTTATCTTGAGTGTTTATGAAGGGAAACGTCCTGAAATTGTGAAAAATACTCCAAAATGTTATATAGATTTAATAAAAAAATGTTGGGATTTAAGTCCTTCCAATAGACCAACCATAATAATGCTTGAAAATATTATATCTGAATGGATTAGATGTATTAATAAATATTATGAATTTAACAGGGATGTAGATTATGGATATTTTTTACCTAATATTGATAATCATCAAAGAAATGATATGAAAGAATTTGTAGAAGCAAATGAAGTTTTAGTACAAGAAAAAGCAAACACTTCTACCACAGTAACCACACAATATCATCCACAAGCATATTATACAAGCCGCAAACTTACTGAAATTTCAGCTCAAGAAGAGTCTCAGGGTTTTGATTGTATGATTGAAGATTAATAATTCTATTATTTATTTTTCTTTTGTTGGATTATTTATCAATGATCGCATAGAAAGCATTATTATGCTGTACTTTTCAGTTTTTACAATGTTTATTTATATTTTTATTTGTTTAGAAAATTTAATATTTAAATTCATACTTTGAAAATTTACTAATATGATTTTCTTAAATTAATACCATAATCAATATTTCTCATAAATTATAATAGCAACTGAACACCTAGTTGTATAATGCTAGCCTTTCTGATACAATTTAGATTATTACTTTTGTGATCTCTTTTCTAAATGAGTTTGATAAATTATTTTATATTGTAAACAAAGAGATTAATAGTGAAGTAATGATTATGGATCAAATTTTCTAGATTTCTATATAACTTTAAATTTCTAGTTTTCTGCCGGAAATACATCAAATACTGTATAATTATTGGCTAAATTATAATATCATGCATTTTTATAAAATTAATAAATACTTATATTTTATATTTCTTAAATAAATAGACACTTTTGTGGTCCCTATAAAAAGGTGATTTGAATATATTATTATGGATCATATCCAAAAAGTTCTAATTTTTATGTCTTATTAAGTATTACAATATAATATTAACACCTAGTTCTTAACAGCAACTAAATAACTAACATGTTTAGTTAAATATCAAAGGAAAAAAACATACATTCTTAAGGTAAACATTTATTCATATTTTATAGTATTTATAATTTTATATTTATTCTATATCATGCTGGGAAGTAAGAAAATTATATTTTGCTTTTCTTTTTTATTTCAATTTATACCAAGTTTTAATATTTAAAATCCGGTTTGGTCAAATATGTAATAATGCAAATTATCAGTTATCCTCATAGATTTCACATAATTGTTATTTAGGTCGTTATCTCATATTACTATGTATTAGCATAATAATAAAATTATTGGATAGTAACGGGAGTTTATTATAAAAATTGCATGAACGGTCCCGTCAAACCGACAATCTAATGCGGCACTACGTGCCGCTATTAGACTATTATTTATTTTAATCATCAAATAATATATAAAAATCAATTGCCATTTCATCATTCAATACATTTATTTTAACAATTTATAAAAGAATTTATTTTTATCTTTTTATATAATTTATTTTAGAGGTCAAAACATTTGTAACTTAATCAAATCAAAAAAATGTATATTGTACAATCTACATTCTACATATTATTTCATGCAATTATAATATATTAAAAAGGAAAGGCTTTAGAAAAGATATCTAGAAAAAATAAAGTCCAAACATAACTAAATTATGCATAATAAGTGAATATGAGATGTCCTTCGATATTATTTTAAATTTCTTCTTTCATATTTCATATGTATTGAGCGATATAAATTCTTTTTTTTTGAATGTTATAAATCAACAAAAAACAATAAAAAGCAACGATGGTAAATTCAATCTTTCGATTTGTATCTAATATTCTATCATAAATGATGACAAAAAAGTTAATATTGATATCGATATAGATTCATCTAGATTGAATTAGATTTTGATAAAATATTAAAAAATGTAATTAATGTTAAGAAATTATCATCCTCTTTTAAAAATAAATTTTAAAAATTCAGTCTTCATTTAAACAATGATTTTTATAATACATTTTCATTGTGAAAAGATTAGAGTATATATATATATAATTTTATAATCTTTATTAATTATTCATGTTATACCCCGTCGCACTAAGTGTGACTTATGATATAGAACATTGTAATTTCCCTAATTAAAAGTATAAGCTTTTTTTTCCCATGAAATTTTTATACAGTTTTTTTCATAGCAATAAACTTTTTTATACTCCTCAAATTATTTTTTCATTATTACAAATATATAAAATTACATTACTACACTATTTATTTAACTATTCAAATGGTTTAACAATAACTTCTACTTTTACATTATTACAATTTTGAATATTAATATTTTCAATATTAATTATTGGTAATTTTGATGAATCTTGAGTTATTTTATGGACTTGTTCTAAAGATTGTATTTCAAGTTGATCATATCGTAATAATTGAGAAGCAGGAATAAAACCTAAAAAGAATATGTAATTTTTCAGATTAAAAGTAAAAAAATAAATATGGAAAATTATGGTACCTTGATTTCCCGATGTATTTTCTCTTAAAGGATTTTGTTTTTTGTTAGAAAAATTTTTAGTTAAACATTCTTCATTAAGATCATCCGCATTTCTTTTTTGGGGAATAAGAAGTGAAACATTTTTTTTTCTTTGTTGAGCAGTTGAAGTTGAATATGCAGAAATCCCAGCAAGTGTTCTATGTCCTGTAATATCCATCTGTTCTGCATGAGATATACCAAGTAACATCCATAAAGAAATTCCAGTTGAACGCATTGAATGATTGACAAGATTACGTCCATTTGCATCAGTTTTACAATCTGCCACAATATTTTTAAGCATATTATCATGAGAATTTTTGCCAAGTTTTAAATCAGAAAACCAATTACCATGATATATTTCTCGTGGTGTATTTATTCTTAAAAAAAACTCTGAAGTTTTGCAGTTTTTTGGTCTTTTAGATTGATATAATAGAATATCTGCCACTGGTGAATAATTATTTGGTAGATCTGGAGGAATATAATTATGCTGACCAGAATTGTAAGGATTTTTGGCACCTCCTACATTATTTTTCTCACGAGGTATATTTACTTTAATACTGTGATCTTCATTGAGAACAATTCAGGAATTTTTTAGTCTTTTTGGATCACCATTACGCAGATTGCAAAGAAGTGTTAACCAAAATCAAACATGGTATGTAAGACCCTTTGGTGTATCAGTTTGTATATTTGGTGAATCAAGGATAGTTTTAATCTCACATATTTCAAGTGCATCAGTTTTCTTACGGGATGTATCTTGATTGTCTTGAATTTGTTTAATTCGACCATCAAAAATTTCATGTAATCGTTTCCATTTGTGTTTACCATGAATATTAATAATTCTATTTGGATAAAAAATATCTGACAATCCTCTAGCAATTGCAGCAAAGCCTACATGTAATGAAGAAGTGCATATTCTTTTTTTCCTGATTTTCTAACACCACAAAAAAATTGACAAAGCTGTTCTTGTAATGTAGTATCATCCAATAGTTCAAGAGGATTAGTAAAATTGGCTGCTTCTCTATAGGAATTAAAAAGATTCATCCAAGTTTTAGTACTATCATCTGTATTAGCAATGTGAGAATAAGCTTGAATAGCTTGTAAATCTTTATTTGTAGGAATAACAAATCGTTCATATGTTGTTAACTTGTTCGTTTTAGTAGAATTATTTGAGCTAGTTGATAAGGTTTCCTTGAAATATCAATTTTTTTATTAGTTTATCTATTTATTTCAAAAAAAAAAGAAAATAGAAATATGCTTTTTAATTACCATCTTTATCCTTTCAGTCTTTAATTGTATGTAAAAGAAAATTATTTTGTTTAAAGAACGTAGAAAAATATTTAAGGGATGAAAATAAAATAATTTGTACGTGTGATAGTAAAAGTATAAAAAGTATAAAAAAAGTAAAAAAGTTTATAATCATACACGTGATAATACAGTGATCATAAGTCACACGCTCCTGGGTATAACTTAGTAATTTCATGTGGGTGGAATACCATGGGTTTTTTCCCTTCGGGAAAAAAACCCTGATATTCCTAAACCCCCATAAAATTACTTATATTAATGCAGCAATAAATTTATATCATTGCATCAATTAAGAAATAGTATTAATAGAATTCTGAATTACAAGAATGATAATAATAAAAAATAAAAAATATATAAATAAATAAATAAAATAAAATAAAAAAATAATAAAAATAAAGAATTAATCATATAATTATGATTATTATAGAAAATTATTTTTACGTTAAATATATTGATATCCTTCCTTCATTTTTAACTTAAATTTATTGTATACTAAATTATTTCTATTTTTTTTTCCTGATAATAATCGTAATGATAATAATATAAAAAACAATTATAATGCTTACGTGCTATATCTGCGTTCTTGTAACCTTTTATTATTTGATCATATTTCAATATCTTCATATGTTTTTAGTTTGTAAAGAAAATCGCTCATAAATATTTTGATTAATACTTTTATCGTTTGTATTTCTATAATCTGTAATCCAAACTGGCATTCTCTTTTTGAAGATAAATTACTTTTATATAATAAAAAATATTTTAAATAATTGTTGTTAAATATATTGTTACGCAATTTCTTGCACACGTGATTTCCGATATTATATGATGATCCGATGAGAATTCAGTACGTTTGTGTACATGTCGATTTCCGGTGTTACGAGTCGATTTACGCTGATACATAGTTGCTGATTTGTGTATATCAGTTAACTATATTAAAGATATTGATTTTATATGATAAATTTACTTATACAGTATATCGTTTTTATATTTATTCAATTTATTTAATTTATTATTAATTATATTTATTTACTTTCTTTATTTGTATTGTAAATATGTATACAATTTTATTAGTAGTTATTGTGTAGAAATTAATTCAATAGTATTAATTGTCCAAAAACTATTATTCGTGTTCTATTAAAAGTGGCTTACAATAAAAGTTATTGTGATGAAACATTAACAATAGATTAGATTCCGCCCTTAATCGTTAGAAAAAGAGATGGCAATAAGATATAAATATGCCTCTACCAACTCCATGATAGGGAGTGACCTTGGTAGTAGTTCTTGAGAATTTTTCCCTATCACCTTTATTCGCTTTGTTGTAAAACCGAAATTCTACATCTATTAATAAAATCGTTATACTTTGGTTAATTTCACACGTTGTTTTTGTATATTCACATAAGATTTGTCTTATATCCATCGCGTATTATTACTAATCGTATTTTATAGTTGTTTACCTTGACGATTCTTAATGAACAATACCGGAAATACCAAAATAGGTAGTATTGAGTAAGAATCCTGTTGGTATCCGTGTGTTTATACAAGTTATCTACCATACGTCCCTTAATTACCGTCAGTAATCGGTAACAATATCATCATTAAAATTTTTAGCTTCAGTTGTTCAAAATAGTCAAAAAAGGTATTGGTGAAATATTGCAAGTTATTTAGCAATACTGCAGTTTCCCATGTGACTTGTACTAAATAATTTACTGTAAATGTTCAATATTTTAAATCTTTTAACTTATTTTTTAATTCGATTGACTTTTCTCTCTTCACATTTATTGATTTCAATTTCCGATTTATAATTGATCAATTCAGATGTAAATATTAGCAATATAAAATGTCTCATAAATTTTTTCACATGTGAGTTTTGAGTAAATAGTGAGATACCTTTCTTCTTGCATCATTATGAAATTATGTAATATTCGTAAAACAACTTACTGATGAAACTTTTTTGTCCATATTTATACATTATATATATTGTATTTTTATATTGATTATTAGTATATATTAACATTAATTAAATATAAGAGGATAATATAACAATACTACAATACAATATACATTTTTTAATTCGATAACGAAAGTAAATTATTCATCTGATATGAATACTTATGTAAAGATTGTTTGTACGACTACGCGCAGTTTTTAATTTATAATAGGAATGAGATCAATTTAAGAATCGTAAATCATTATCTTTGATAAACTATCTGCTTTTTCTTATTAAATAATTATATTGATAATTTTATTTTATGAAATTAAATACAGTATTAGTATTAAATACGCAATTATAAGCTATTTAAGTAAAGCTAGGTAATCCATAATTTGATGGCTATCTGTTATACAAATTAAACTCAAATTAAACTGATATCACACTAATAATTTAGGTTATATCATATTATGTTAAATCTTTCACTGCATCAAACATGTTTTTGAATTTATTACCAAAAATTAATACACAAACAGCTAATGGGAATATGGGATGTAAAAAGTCAAGTTATTTTCAGTAATTAGTAACAATTTGCATAAGCGATACGCCAAATCTAGTGATCATTTTATAAAGAGATTCTAGGAGTTTCATAAATTTCTTCCAAGTATTTAAGATATTATATGCAAATATTATGGATAAAGAAAATCTGTAAAAGGAACAAAAAAATAACAAACAACTTTTTTACCATTTATTATAAAAATATTTATTTTTTTGTACTAAATTAAATTACGATTTCATTAAAAAGAAATATATCGCATGATTTCACGAATTTATAAAAAAAAAAATAACAATAATAAATAAAAAATAAATAAGAATATCAATTAGAAATTTCAAAATCAAAAATAATATCTAAAAATTATATAAAGTTAATACAAAATAAAAATATAAAAAAAAAATTCTATCAGTTTTTACTAGTACAAACTTTTATATTGCACTAGTATTCGGGTGAAATTATTTTTCAAAATTCGGCCAATAATCGAAATCTCAAAAAACACTAATTTGGGAATGCATTTGTAGATCATCTTGGCGAAACTTAGTTTTATCCGAAGCATTAACTCGAAAACGGAGATAAATGATCAGCTTTTACAACGTAGTACAATTTGCGCCCTTCATTATTAATAATTTTTTTTTTACGTTTTAATAATTCTGAAATTTAATTCTAATTAGTGAATATTATTTCGGTTAACTAGATCTCTTCTCTGTTTACTTTATTTACTCTAGATTATAACCTAAGAAAAATTATAATCTGTATAATGGAGGATAAGCCAAAGAATTTATGGAAGAATATTGACTATTATAAATATCAGGTAATAAAAATCCACATTATAATAAATAATTATAATAATATTAAATGTTTTACAGTTTAAATAATAATTTTTTTAATTATTAAAGGCCCATGTTACAGTTTCTACTATTGATTCAGAAGATGTAGACGAAAGAGTAGTTTATATGGAAGATTTAGAAAAAAGAAAGCAAGTATATGGAGTATGTGGAGAATGTAATGAGCCAGGTACAGGAAATAGATGGTGTCAACCTTGTAATGCTAAAAGGTTTAAGGATAACTTTAAAAATTGGACTAGTGGAAATAAAGATATTGATGAATTTATACAACAATCACAAATTAATGCCGTATATCATACAAAATGTCTTGAATGGATACCTTTTGAAAAATTTCAAAATATTACTTATATTGCAGAAGGTGGTTATGGAAAAATTTATTCAGCCGAGCGACCTGAAGGATATATTAAATATTGGGATATTGAAAATCAAAAATGGTATAGACATCAACAATACAGTAAATATGCATTAAAAAGTTTAAATGATTCTTCTGATATCAGTTCAGATTTTTTAAATGAGGTAATTTAAATTCATTTCACCTTAAATTTAAAAATTATTACTTTGATTTATTTGTTTAACAAAAATTTCTCCTCTTTGACATTTAGATTAAATCTCATCTTCAGATTTATATGTTTAACGTTGTTAGATGTTATGGAATAACTCAAAATCCAAATACTAAAGAGTATATGATGGTTTTATTTTATTGTAAAAATGATAATTTAAGAAATTTTTTAAATAATTCTGAAGAATATATAGATTATAGAACAAAAATTTATAAGCTATTTTTTATTTCAAGAGGACTTCTTGATATTCATAATGCTGGAAAAGTTCACAAAGATTTTCATTCAGGCAATATATTATTTTTTTATAATACTCCATTTATAAGTGATTTAGGAATGTGTCAATCAGCGAATAATAAGCAATCAACTAAAGAAGAGGGAATTTATGGAGTATTACCATACATGGCACCAGAAGTTATACGTGGATATCAATATACAAAAGCAGCAGATATTTACTCATTTGGAATATTGATGAATGAATTCCTTTCTGAAGAAATTCCTTTTAATGATATTCCTCATAATGAATTTTTAGCTGTTAAAATATGTGAAGGACTTAGACCAAAAATTTCCAAGGATATACCAAAATTATTTGCAGATTTGATTATGAAATGTTGGAACGCTGAAGTAAAAAATAGACCATCTACTAAGGAATTATATCAGGTTTTAAATAAATGGAAAGATGAAGTAAAAGACAAGAATACTGAATTGTATTCTCAAATAAAAGAATGTGATAAAATTAGTAAAAGCAAGTTCAAGAACAGATCAAATAAAGATAAATCCAAAAATATACAAACACATCCTCAAGCAATTTATACAAGCAGACTTTTAGATTTCAACAATCTTCCAGATCAAGTAAATTCATCAAATCCTCAAGGTAATTGAACTGCTATTTAACTTTTTTATTAATAAATTATTTTACAATATTAATTATTGTTTGCTTAATTTTTTAATAGACGTTTACCACAATATTCAATCAACCTCGGCAAATCCAAGTAAGTATTCCCGTTAGAATGGCTATAATATTCATATTAATAATTAATACTGCTATTTAATTTATTTAATTTATAGTCTCTGAATGCTTGGATGTCCAATTGAGTGAATTGGGTAGATATTATTTGTACAATATATTTATATATTTAAGTGTATTCGTAGTCCTTATACCTGATTTGTTTATTTTTTTTTTTAGAACTCGATGAAATTTATCAAGGTTATATTGATTGAATTATAACCAACAGGTTAACAAAAGTTAATTTTATTTGGCGTTGCTTTTTTAATTTAACTATATATTTTACTTGAACATTTGTTAACAAGATTGCAAGAAAGGAAACTCAAGCATAAGATTATATAATAATAAAATTTTTAACTAGTATACTTGCTGTATAATTATTATTATTTGATTGATTAAGTTATAATACTGCATTCAAATATAGAAGGTCAATTTCGACTAATACTTTTATATTTTATCCTATATTATAATTAGGACAATATATCACATGTTATTGGTTAATCGGAAATTGAGTCATCAAAAAATAATAAATTGGTGCTATTTTATATTACTTATCCTTCGCTCATTTGATATGTAAAGTATAATACAGTATATAAATATTATTATTCTTTTTTTATAATTAGTTTAATGATGGATAATATGATTTGATTTATAAACTTCATAATTTTCTTATACAAAGATTATTATATTTATTATTTTTAATTTCATTCCTTTCGGAGCGAAGCATATCAGGTGAACGTATTTTTGATTACACGCTAAACACAATAAAACTAAAATATATCATGAATTCATTTGAAAACATTAAAATTAATAAAAAAGAAATTAAAAAAATGTTTAATAATGGTTTAAATTTTCTAATGTATATTTTTGTTATTTTATATGACAAAGAACACGAACTATTACCTTAATAATTATTTAGCAATACTATTATTTTGCTTAGTTTCCATAATAAGGCGTATTTCTGAAATGATATTAACTAGAATTGAAGATTCCAGTGTTGTTTTAAATGTTGCTTTGTTATATTCTCTAAATTGTCTTAATGATCATTTAGATTTATGAAATTTTAAATTTGGTTCGGTAAATAATGAAAAAATCACCACATAACATTAGGTTAGTTAAATAGTCATCAGAAAGTTTTTGATGGACGTATAAAGTGTTGAAAACCGCCATGTGTTTCTCAACACCAAAAAATGTAGGGAAATGAACCCTTTGTATCTCAATGCCACTTAAAAACGTTTAAAAACCCATATTACAATATGTAAATCAACGTACAGTAAAACAATAGCAGGTTAAAAACGTGTATACAATGTATAAGAATGCATATATCGATATTAAAAACGTGCATAGCAATGGTGCTTTTTAATCAATGAACGCGATTATTACATTAATATTGCAATTACATAATGCATATAATACATGTAAATAATACTAATAATACATGATAATACATAACTACTAAAACTATTATTACTTTTCTAAATCAGCTACAACCCGAACTTAAAGCCTTAAACCTATAAGAAAAGAAATATTAGTAAAACATTTCTAATAATAAAAAATTTAAAGTTTCATAGTGAAAGTTACGAGACTTACCCTTTTTAATTCTCAAAATTCTAATAAAGACTTGAACCTACAAACCGAAGTCTACAAAAAAGAAAATAACGAAACATTAGAAAATATTTCAAATAAAGAAAAATAAGAAGTTTCATTAATGAAACCTTACACGATCCAATTAATCCGATATCCCAAAATCCGATATCGCAAACATGAAACATCTCATCCGAAGCCTACAAAAAAGAAAATAATGAAACATTACCAAATTGTTCAAAAAAAAAAAAAAAAAAATTTAGGAAAGTTTCGTAACGAAACTTACCAAAATCACAAAGCCTAAAAAAAAATAAAAGAAATATGGAAATTAACAAAATGTTTCCAATAAAAAGAAAATACAAAGAAAAACGAAAGTTTCACAAACATATGAAACTTACTGTTTACCTGAACTGAAATTCCAAAAACTTACAGAAAAGAAAAAGGAAATATTAATTAATATTTCCTAATAAAAAAATTAAAAAAAAAGATTTTACGAAACTTACCTGTTTCCAATTGCCTATCCAAAACTTACGAAAAAAATCCAGGTCAAAGTTACCTACAGAAAAAAAAATCCAAGCTGAAGGTTGAAGTAACCATCCAAGCCGACCTATAAAAGAAAATCCAGAGCTGAAAGAGAAAATCCAGGAGGTAGACCTATATGACAAAAAATAAAAGTTAATAAAAAAAGTAAATTTTAAAAAGCGAAACGCTTCAAAACTTACATTTCAATAACTTTCAGAAGCCGAAACCTAAGAAAATAAAAGGGCGCAGGAAAAAGAGAGGAGGGAAGGTGAAAAACTGAAGAGGAAAGAGAGCGAAGGGGAAAGTGGGAAAGTGGGAAAGTGCGGAGGAAGGGAAGGTAAGGCACGGGAAAAATAAAAAAAGTAAAAAGAATAAAGAAACACATTAATTAAAATTTCTTTTAAGAAAGAGTAAGAAAAAAATTGACAGGTGTTGCGAAATTTACCATTTCAGTGTTCCAGTGCCTTTGAACCCAAAATCTACAAAAAAAATTCACAACACCCAATGTTGTAAACATATCGGTGTTCGGCGTTCCCTTAAAATCTACTAAAAAACATAAGAAACGTTACGTTTCTTATTAAAATTTTAAAAAAAAGTTTCGTGAAATCTACCATACATTATGACGATCCAAAATTTACAAAAAGAAATTAAAAAATGTTTATAAAGTATAAGCGTTTCTTTTAAAAATATTAAAAAACACAAAGTTCCGTAACACCTGTTACAGAACTTACCATACATTTCAGCGTTCCAGTTCTTGATAAAAAAAAAATAAGGAACGTTAAATAACGTTTCTAATTAAAATATTTAAAAAATACAAGTATATTTATTTATAGTTATATTTAGTTTATTTCAAAAAAAGGCGCTGAATTTACCGTAGAAAATTTGTTGGTGTTACTAGATATTTATAATCACATGATAGTCATGTGATAGGGTGACATCGTAATAAGATTGTTTGTCACGTGATGGCATGTGATGAGGTGCATCATGTGATGAAATTATTATGGAAGGTCTTTGTAGACGCGACTTGATTCGTAAAGAGTCAATGAGTCATTAGATTAGATGTGAGTCATGATGAGTTATTTTGATTGTACAATGAAATTGATTGTATAATAAGATTGATTGAGGTTTATTCTAAACTTAATCAGGATTGTGATTCAATCAGAAATTTGATAGATTCGATATATTTAGATAATATCTTTTTCTTCTATTTTTAATTATACGATTTTGGGATATTTGTAGTTTATCATTTTTTTCTTTTTTTTTTTACTTTGGTGCATGTTTTTAAATTCTCGAAAGGTTTATTGCAATTTTCTTTTTGCAATTTTCTTTTTCCACATTAGTATTCCTACGGGTTGGTATTCCATTTTGTTTTAAATATCAGATTCAAATTTAGGCCGTATGTGCAGGGATTGGCACATACGAGACCGTGACCTTGTCACATGTTCAAAGAAAATTTAAGTTCGGGATCAACATAATCGAATGAAAGATACGAACACATTGATATTATTCAGTATGTTCACAAGATGAGAGATAAATTGCACAAGATAGGTAAATTAACAGTCTAACAATGATTATCAAGATGTGAGTCATAGCTAAGATGCGCTCCAGCAATATATATATAACCGTATTCCGAGAAGATGAAAATAATCAATATTCTGAGAAGTGAAAATAATTGTAAAAATTATAATATGACGTCTCTGAATACTAAAAACAGTAAAGTTACTAAAAATCAAAGACCTAAAAGACAATCCGAAGAAGAAAAATACAAACTTCGAGAAAAAGTAATCAAAGATGATGCGGATAGAAAAAAAAAGTTACACTTGCATTCAACGAATTTAACTACTAGTCAGGTTAAAGATACTAAACCGCAACCTCCTTATGACCGATAAGAAAACAGAAACAAAAACAACAGGGTTATTACGTTCAGTAAGTATCTTCCTAATAATATTTTTTTTTAGGTAATAGTAACATATATTAACATATATTTAACAATATAATAGTTATATATATATATATATTTTTCATTTTCATTATCCTCGGTCCTACTGTACCTATACTTTCTTTAGGATATATAGGAAATACTATGTACTGTATATTTGTATATTTCACATGTAATAACTGATAAAATTTCTAGCCCTGTATTTTTAATTTCTCAAAATAAAGTTAATTTACTCGTGATATTTTTGAATATTTATAATCCATTATTATGTTATCAATGTATGCGGTGCAACAATTTTATTAGTAGCTGAACTATTTATCGTTTCCTCAGAGTTTCAGTATTACATATGAATTGCATAAAAGCTAACCATAAATCAATAGGTCAAATCACATTATCTCTAAACACGCTATAAATCATTCATAATCATTAGTGTTATGAGCGCCTTGGGAGAAAGCGTGTTACGGAATTAAAAAATTGGCCATTGTAATGTCTGATGACTATAGTTTTTACAGAAAATCAAATTTTTATTATTCTTTTAATATTTACATCACCACCAGTAATTATCATTAGTTAACAAAGATAATCCTTTTATTTAATAATACAAAATAGTGACACGAGTCATAATATACTATATAATATAATTAATATAATGCTTGGTTCTAATGTAATACTTATACTAAACAAATTGTCGATCCAGAATTCATTGTCTTTTTTACTAAATTTCTAAAATTCAGTAAAATATTTTCAAAGTGTTTTTGTTCTGTTCCCAAATTATCATAGTAATAATATTATAAAATTACCCTTCTCCATTTTCGAATTTTACTTTTAACAATAATCACTTTCTAATATCAATTTTTTATGATCTAAAAATAAATAAAAATAAAAATAAATCACAAGAATAGTTTTACATAATGTTACGTCATTTGTAACATTTCATAAAATATTTTACAATTTTATACACTTAAGCTAAATATATTACTGTGCCACACAATTAATAAATTCACTAAATAGTTTATGACGATCTCACCACTTATCGGTTTGACGGGACAGTTCATCCAATAACTGATAATAAATAAATATGGAATTTATTTTTTAGTAATTTTTCTATCATTAAGCTTATAATTATAATTTTTTATTTAAAAATTTTTTTATAACTATTTTAAAACAAATTTATATTTTTTTACTTTTTTTACATAAAATATTTTATAAAGATTTTTTTTTTATTCACATTTTTCCCATTTATCTTGATAAAATTAAAGAAATTTCTAGTGAATTTGCATCTATTTTTAATTTATGAATTTTATGTCAAATTTTTCTTTAAAATCGGAATTTATTTTGAGCGTATAACACGCATTTTTATCACGTGAATAAATTTACGGTTTTTTTTATAACACACTGTACATGATTACTCTTTCACACTATTACGCAATAATTGGTATGAATTGTAGTTCGAGTCCAAGGCCTTTTTGGTAAATTCGATCGAATACGCAGTGTCACTTGCCTTGGATATTTTTCTGGGGCTATATAAAAGGAAGTGTTAGTCCCGAACTGTTGTGACTATACCATAGACATAATCAAAATTATCATCACGCTTCCTCTTGTTCGTCTCACATGTGCTTTCAAGCTGTTTGATATTCTGAGCGAAGCCTACGGGAACCTTGTGTTGTTTATCCTCCGTGATACAGATAAGGTCTTCAGCCTCCTATCAATATATTTCCATAGTTTTGTGTTAGTGGTAAGTTATCATGTTTGCGACTAGACCTATTGCACAATAAACCCGGCCTCGGCATTTTTCGCCAACTATTCCATACTGAGGACATACTTATTTATTTAATCCATTACGATGATGGAAGCATGAAGAAGTGCTACGACATATTCATTACACATGGCTGTAAAGTTCCGTAGGAGCGCAACCTACCAAAAATTACTTCCATGCAACGCTCAAAGACCTTATTATCATCTTGAATCTCGTGAATTTGCGGTTCAAGAATCTATACCATCGGAGTAGAGATCATATTCCGCTAATACCTCACTCAGACTAAGGTACGAGGAGAATAGGCGCTTCGGCTTTTCTTTGAGGGTCTGAATCTCTTTTGCAAGTTTTTATAGCTGGTCCAAATTCCAACCCAGCTTACATAAAATAATCCTTACTTATCATATTTCAATAAATACTTGACCATTTATTTTTCACTTGCGAAGTATTCCTAAGGTTTTGCTCTTTCAAAAAATCGATAAGGGTCTCTGTGTCCCAGTTCATAATTAGTCATTAGGTAGATAAATAGTTCAGTGTACCGAGTTTTGACCTTGGTTCAAGAAAGCTCAAAAGGGGGATTTTAATGGTAATTTAGGAAAAAGAGTCGTGCTCAGCTGTTGGGGGTGAACATAGTGCTTTTATAGGGATATTGGTCTTGGATAAAAAAATGTATTACGTTCCGGGGTGAGACCAGATTTTATTCTGGGAAAAAAAGCAAGCGTTAATATACGATTTTATATCGCACAGGCATTGCATCATTTCACGTGACTTTGATCGATTCATTGATAAAAGGTTGACGAAACAACTGATACATAAAGTTGTGAACAGGTCGCATTACGTCATTACGTGATGTTAATAAATAATTTCTATTTATCTATAGCTTTAGTAAAAGGAGAAGATTTTTATAATAATATGAATTAGATTAGGATCTAGATTGGGATAATGCTCCAAAGTCGCAGATCTCATAGTCATTTCCACTTTCTCTGCCATGATCGATTCTGCAGAGCCTAACATCCCTAGAAGCAATATGCCCTAGCGTCAGAAACCTATCTTTAAGTGCTTCAATAGGTATAACAGATAAATCAACATTAAGATCGAAAATGCCATCACCATCAATGAGAAATATGTTAGTTCCGTAATTGGTCATTTTCCTACTTAAAAAAGTATAGTCAGTGAAAGCTCACAGGTGGTGGGTAGAATCTGTTTCCCAAGCCAAATAGCGAACATACCTTATTTTGCATTATTTTTTGTGGGAAGGTTTTTCGCGGGAGAGTTGGCTGAACTTCCACATACTCCTACATGCTTTATATCTTTCTGGTAAAGAAAGATAAGGAGAGTGATTAACATTATCGTATGTAACCAGTGTAAAAAAATACTTTAGAAAAAGCTTTGGATCGAATTAATAAATATATGGAAGTATTAATATTAGAAGAGTTTCTGATGGAAAAGTTAATGTAGAAGAAGATATTAGTGATCTACCCTATAAAAAAAGAATGTCCAGAAATTGTTGTCGGAAATGTCCAGGAGGGCTCAAGAAGTAAACATTTCTCGGACACCTGAACATTTTCTGGACATTTTCGATGACAATTTCTGGATATTATTTTTTATAGAGCTAGGAGGATGTGTTTTATTATCTTTAGGTTCAAATAGGTTAATAACAAGGGAAATACAATTAAAAATATTAACTATAAATTTAATATAAAAAATTAATGTGCAATTATAACTTTGTGCATTATTATTAGATTAAAAATTCTTTAACAAATAAATTGAATAATTATACTTAAATTTATAAAGGTGAATTTGAAATTTCCAATCTTAAAAAAAGCTGAATATTGCAAAAATGTCACCCTATAAAAAAATTGGATACGTTTTTTATAAAGTTTTTATACGATTTTTTTTCCTTAGAAATAACGTATCATAATAGGATACGGAAAAATGCACAATTACGTATCACTAAAAATATGGTTTTGATACGGAATTTGCACGGAATTCATATGGAATTTACATGATTTGATCACTGATTTTATCACGAAATTTATACGATTTGGTCACTGAATTTACTATTTGTATTACAGTTTACTATAATTATATTTACATAAATCTAATTTTACTTTATTAAATTAAATAAAAAATAAAAAATAAACAAAATACAAATACATTATGAAAATTCCCTCCTTATTAAAACCACCTATTGCAACCAAAATTATCTATAAGTTCAGGTTCATTTGGAGTCAAACAACCTAAAAAAAACAAAAAAAAGAAACATAAGAACGTCTAACTTAATTGGAAACAAAACCCCCCTTCATATAGTATCTGCAATCGTCCAAGTCACCAAAGGTCAGCATTCCTACAAAAAAAGAAAGAGAACTCCAGAATGTCTGACCTACATAAATGAAAAGAATTATGAAGCATCTGATGAAAAAGAAACCAAAACAACAAAATAAATCCAAAACTGACCTAACAAAAAAGAAGACTCTGAAGCAACAAAACTGAAACAACCTACAAAAGAAAAGAATTTGAACCCAACTTACAAAAAAAAAAAAAGAAAATTTGAACTGACCTAAAAAAAGAAAAAAATCCTGAACAATCCTACAAAAAGGAAAGGACTCCCAAACTGATCGACAAAAAAGAAAAAAGAAACTGAATCTTCTCACAAAAAAAAATCTGCTGGCCTATGAAATAAAAAAAGGGATAAATATAAATAAAAAAGAAAGGGGAATAAAGAATAAATCAAAAAAAAAATATTTTTTTAAAAAGAGAGGGAAAGTTAAAAAAAATTTTTTTTTTAAAGGGAGGACGTCAAAGTTAGAAAAATAAAAAATTTTTTATAAAGAGGAGATCATGCAGATTTTCATAGTCAGCTATTTATATTGTGACTATTTTAGTTAGATATAATTGATATAACAAATTAACAATACAGCATGATACAAAAGCCAGAATGGATAACACTTTTATTGGATGTGGTAAAATTTTCATTCAATCGTCTGATCCTGTGAAATGATTTGAAATATTTTGGATTTTTTTATTATACGGTATTATTATTGTTCAGACAAAGTTATTTTTAAGCCAATCATTTATTTAAACAAATTTTTACGAAACAAATTTATGATATTTTTTTGAGAAAAAGTTTAGTAAACAATTTTTTGTAACCAAAAAAAAAAAAATAATAACTACTGTAATTTTGCGGTCAATTATATAAATATTTAAAAATTCAATGATTTTAAAAATAAATTATAATTAAATTAATTACAAAATAGGTTCATCATATAAACTCGCTGCTTTATCGGCTAAAGATTTCGCTTTAGCGCCTAAAAATAATTAATTTGTTATTAATTTTAGGATACAGGGTAAAAAAAAATTAGAAAGAATACATGCCAACTGAAATTTTGCGATCAAACACAATAAATATTTATTGATGATTTTAAATATAATTTACAAAGTCATTAAATAACTATAAAATTCTTCACTGGAAATTTTCTTCTCGATGAACTTAGTACCCAGGAAT